CGGCAATTAGCCCAGAAACTTAACTTGTTACTTCCAGGCAGAGAAGCAAAGGAATACATTTTAAAACCACGGCAGAGAAGCAAGAAGCGAAAAGCAAAGTGATACATTTAGATCCAAGGAGAAAAGGGGGTGGAAAAGCGCTGCTATATGTTGCAAGCTATAGTAGTAATATTTGTAAAGTAACAGAAAGCTTTTCTTTTTTTCTTGCTTTCTCTTCTTTTCTTTCACGTTTGTGTGTGTGTGTGTGTACACTACAAAATAATATATATTTTTAAAAAGTATAACAAGAGGATCAAGAATCCATTTCTCCTACTTGCAATAGATAGCTATTTCCCCCTTTCTTCATGCCTTTCAGATAGACGTAGAAAGCGAAGTCTTGATGTTTTTAATTTTGATAAGTGGATGCTATGCTAATCATTTAGCTAACATTTTATATTGTTTTCATATATCAATTTGCAATAGATCTATGTTTTATTTTTATTTTTTTTTAAAAAACACATTTGCATACCTCCCCCCTTCAATAGAATCCAATCCAATGGAAAGACAGTATGTTTCAATAACTTATATGTCTAATAGTTGCTAAACTGATGGCTTAGTTAACATAGTCTCACAAGAAGAAAATAGATACAGAGCAACCCCTCACCTTAAATTATAGGATGTCTCTAAGGTCAGGTACAGGTTCCTCAATGCATATTTAGCAGACTTGGAGCATTTTATTCTGAATTTCATCTCACCTATTAAGAAAGTTTTATTCCTTCCTTCCTTCTCACGGTCCTTTCCTTTCCTTTCCTTTCCTTTCCTTTCCTTTCCTTTCCTTTCCTTTCCTTTCCTTTCCATTTATCCTCTCAGGACTAGCCTGGAACCTTCCCCATGTTCAGTCTTAAAGTTGCCATGGTTGGATAATCTTGTCTTAGAGATTTAATAATTACTGGTTTCATTTTCCAGCGTCTTCAGCTCTGAGGAAGATGGAGTTGGTTTGCAAAAATGTGATTGGTCAAGGTGCTTTTGCCGCTTGTCCATCAGGTGAGAACTAATAACTTGTGGGAGAAGATCAGGAGCTAAGAGAAGAGGATTAGGTGAAAAGAAAAACTCTCTATCAAACCGTTTTCTCTGTCGTCTGCCAGACTTGTGTATGCATGGGTACAAAATGTAAACTAAGCAAGGCTGCTGCAGGAATCTGCTTAGCTTGGCATTTATATCATAATTGTTCCAAACACTCAAAGTGATGCAGATCTGCATAACCTTCATCTTTTTAAACTTTCTCTTCTTTTCCTTCTTCCTTTGTAGGATTTCTACCCACTTCATGTGCCTGTGGAATGGGTTGTGGATCAGTTGAAAAAGAGTGGACAACTCAATGGTATTTAAAGGTGGGTAATTTGTTTAGGGCACAGAATACTTTGGAAAGCAAATCTTTGCTCTTAAAGGTAAGTTTGTACTTTTTTTTAGCAAGGGAAGGAGGGAATACTCTAAGGGCATTCTTCTCTGAGAATCTGTTCCGTAGAACAACATCAAGGGGCTTCTGATTGTATTGCCAAGTTACAGTTTGCTTGCTTATTGATTTCATTTTTTTCAACATAGATTAATTTGACTAAATAAATTGATGAAATGCTGTAATTTACAATTAAAAACTCAGTAG